CACACAGCAGCACTTACAGGATTGCAAGTGATGCATACCAGGAAGACAAACTTCATTTTTCCCCGAGGCACCAGATGGCAGCATTTTCCTTCATACAGTGTGATCTCATCCTCTCAGATTTCTCTCTGGGATCATCATGCTTTGAGGTTCTTGAAGCCACAAAGACCTCCACGGAACCAGACATTGTCTGTAATCACCTGCTTTCAGTGTAGCTATGGGGTCCCATTGATGTGGCCTGAAAACAATACAGACCTTTTGGCTGTACAGGCCTGACAGTCAATAGCAATCGGTAGCATACATGCACTTTAAAAATAACATACAGTAAATCTGTTTCCAAGCTCTACATTTTGCATATTCTCAGAATATTAAGTAGCTTTCATTTTGATTTCATTTTAGCTACCAGCTCTTTCCCATACACATGCATGTACAATGTAATTCTTATGTTCTCTTCTATCAATGCTGTATTCTTCACATTTTCCAATAACGTTTTCATTGTACACTAGTTATGCATCACTAGGCTTGTAAATTCTGTAGTACCCTCTCCTCCCTCCCCCCCCTCCCAGTAATCTGAGGCAGGAGTTGAGGAAGAATTGCTGTAGTTGAGAACTTTGCAACTTAACGCTTGCTTCTACAGTTACAGGCATGGAGTGAAGTTTTGTGGGCTGGGAATTCTTTAGTCACACAGTCCTTGGTTCTCTTTTTTCCCTTCACCCCCATGTTTTTGCTTATAAATCTAATGCTGCCTTTGCAGTGTGTTTTTGTCAGAGAAGAAAAATAATTAAGGTCAACTGTAAAAAGTTGTATTCGTAAGTCACCACCCTTGAACTATGAACCTGCAGCACCATGGTACAAATGTGTAATCGCTTGAGCTGTATGACTCTAAGCCTTCAACAGACAATAGAAAAGAAAGGCTCTTTATCCAAGAAGGGGATGGATTGTAGAGCCCCAGAGGTTAAGGGAGGAGCAGCCCTGTTTTTTTCATTAGTATGCTGTCACTCCTTGGGGTTGCTGGTGTATCTGCTGTGGTTAGTAAGTCTGCTAGTGCTTTACAAATGCTATGAGCTCAACGGTAGACTATTTGCAGATTGTTTAATTTATGGACTTCTGACAAGCAGCCAATCATTTTTCTAAAAAAAAACATATGCAACAAGGGATTTTTTACTTTTCCAAATTTCAGCCAAATTCAGTATGAGTGTCATAGGACAGGGCCTGGATGGTAGACCATCTGCAACTCCACCCTTTCTCTTCTTATTTAATACCAAGATTATCTATAAACAGGAAGGAGGGAGGGATGGAGAAGCATTTCTCAAAGCTAGTCATGAGAACCCTGTATGATGAACACATTAAGCCATGTAACCTGGAAATCAGTCCTAGTTTCTTCTGTTAAAATATTCTAACAAAATTCCCTCAATATTCGTGTATTTTTTTCATGCCAATTTCTTTCCAGTTCTGGATTTGCCTGTCCATTGGTTTCAGCTATTATATGCCAACAAGACAGATTTAACTTGGCTGCCGAAGATGTACAAAATAAATGCAATATAACTATGTTGGAATCTCACTTGTAAGCTGAGCAGAACTTCATCACTTAAAGACAGCTGTAGGTGTACATGTATGACCTCTAATAAAGAGGAAAATGACCTTCTAATAAAGGAGAAAAATACCTCTCTACAGTTTATAATGATTAATGGAAACCCTTGCACACAGTTGCATTGCAAAATGGAAAAATAAATACTTTTTGTCTAATTATACCACTGTGATTACTAGCACCTTCTCAGAGAAGAGAAAGCGGTCAGCCAAGATGAACTTTGTGAAAGGAGAGGAGATACTGAGAAGGTTTACAAAAAAAAAAGTCTGATATCACTCAGTATGGATTATTACAGTTTGCCATTATTTATTTTGGAACTGTGACAATTGACCAAAACATAAGGACAATAAATAGAAATGCAAGTAGCATTAAGTACACAAGAAGAAAAAAGCAATATAATTTGGCATGCAGCAAATCTTTTATCTGGCATACAGCTGTCTTTGCAACTCCCATTGCTCTTTTGGAGTATTTTTTGTGACTTCCTACTAAGGTACCTCTGCTGGTAGAGACTTAGGAACAGCACCATCTTTGTGAGCTTTGTTTCTTACTCAGTGGAGCTGGCTAAGATAAATGGTGTTAATCCTTTACATACAAAAGATGCAAGTATCCTCCTACACATGCATTAGAGAGATTTATTTGTTTTGTGATGGGTAAGTGCTATATATTGTTTGTAGACTCTATCTTGCATAGTAAGTGAAATTACTGTCGAAACAAGCTGATTAAATCTGTGATTTCCCCTTGCTGCAGTGCAGAATGAAGATATACCCAAAGGGGGGAAATTGTCTGGTGGTATGCATAGCATATTAGCTTAAAGATTTTCATGGCACACTAATGAAGGAGATCTTTTTTTTTAAGGCTTGTAAAGGAAACATCCATGTTGTTTCCACGCACTGAGATACTGTCCTTAGAAGTATTGTAGTAGCAACACTGCCAACTTTCAGCTTGGCCTTCCCTCAAGGCAGGGGGAATTGGGTTGGTCTGATATTTGATAGAATATAACTACACATAAAGACACTTACCCTTGTGATGCATGCCATATATGGGGAGCTTCCTCAAAATGCATGCCCTGCAAACAAAACCGTAGTGTTAGATTTTGATCCTCATTTTCTATTCATAGTCTGTAACATTTCTCATATCGCACTAGCTAACCCTATTTTTCAAGGAAAGCAGCGACAGTTACTAATTATATAGAATGTGGGAAAAGGAGGCTGAAGAGAACAGTTGCCTAGAGAGAAAAGTGGTTGGGGAAGAGGTTAAAAGGATGTTCCCCAAAACTGGGGAGAAAAAGGCTTTTAAATAGCAGGGACAAAACATGATATATATGGTATAACCCCCTCATCCTCCTTTTTTTTTTTTTTTTTTCCCCAGGAACTGAACAATAACAAGTGTCTAAGAGTTTCTGCCACTAGGACTGTTACTGATATACTATGCTTAATTTCCCTCTGTGCTTATTGTTTGTTGGTTACCTTGAGCCAAACCCATACACGCATTGCAAAGAACCAATGGTTTCTGTTCCAACCCAAATCATTAGCCCAGGCAGGTTCCTGAGTTGATCTAAATTTTCCTCCTGTCAATATAATGAATTTAGGAATGTCCAAATACACCTTTACCAAGCAAAGGCAGAACTGTATAGGCAAGGAGGTTATTAATTTCTCCTTGCTTACTTTGTTTATCAGTTGGGGGAAGTGGTTTTTGTTTTGTTTCTTTGTTTAGGATAATACTTATATCTTCAGTGAGTGCAAGTTTTGTCTCCTTATGAGCTGAATTACAGCTTGCCTCATCTCAGACGTCCATGAGTCTTAAACGTATACCTCCTCTACATAGAGGGAAATGGGATGATTTTCACTGGACAGCAGTGAGTGAAAATGTTAAGTGGAATTGTATTTCTTATGTTACTTGTTAGAAAAGGAAGATGGGGTAAATGGTGTTTACTCAATCAGACCTCAGGTATAACAGAGTACCCAGTTCCACTTAAGTCATGATAGTGGAGGTAAGAGGCAATTTTCCTGCTTCCTTGTGATTGTTTACCCATAAACCGCAAAGGTCTGTGGTAGTTGGCGTGTTATTTCTTACTGCTTTTAACCCTGGAGCCAGATTCACCAAGTTGCTACTTAATCCCTTCTGTGAAGACTCCAAGGTGAGGCCACTAAGATGATCAGAGGGCTGGAGCACTTCTCCTATGAAGAAAGGTTGAGGGAACTGGGCTTGTTTAGCTTGGAGAAGGCTCTGGGGAGACCTCATTGTGTCCTTCCAGTACTTGAAGGGAGTGTATAAATAGGAGGGGGAATGCCTGTTTACATGTGTTGATAGTGATAGGACAAGGGGGAATGGTTTTAAACTAAGATGGGGAGATTTAGGTTAGAAATTAGGAGAAAGTTTTTCACTTAGGGTGGCGAGGCACTGGAACAGGTTGCCCAGAGAGATGGATGCCCCATCCCTGGAGGCATTCAAAGCCAGGCTGGATGTGGCTCTGGGCAGCCTGCTCTAGTGGTTGGCAACCCTGCCCAGAGCAGGGGGTTTGAAACTAGATGATCTTTGAGGTCCTTTTCAACCCAGGTGATTCTGTGATTTTGTAAATGAAAAAGTAAACGGCTAGGAGGTGAATGGCTGTTAATATCTGACATCTTGAAGGAAGTGAGGAGTTACTGAAACAAGGCAGAATGCTAAGTGGTCACACATGTGGATGCCTTTACCTTTCCCCATGAGGAATCTGAGTAGATTCCGGGTCCCAGGTGACACTGTAGTTGGTGTGTCTAGTTAAACTTTAAATGGACAATTTGTCTAGCTGGCAAAAGGAGTCCTTCAGCTCTAGGGATTTAACTAAACTTCTGGCTTAATTAAGAACAGATTAACATCTATGTTTAAACATCTGAGTCATATGGATAAAATATTTCTTCTCTTGCACAGCTCAAATGTACACTCCCCTTTGTGTATCACAGCAGGGACACTCGGTGGACCTTCACTCGGTGCACATACGACCAGACTAAGGGAAAGCGCCTCAGCCCCAAATAGAAGTGGACTTCTTTCTGTCTTATGTTTACCTGTTTACTTCTCTTCAGGTGACGTGCAGGCGCCTTTCCTCTGTACCTCAGGCTGCTGGGCGCCGGGGGTAGCGCTGAGGAGAGGGGCACAAGGGGCGGCGGGCGTCTGCCAGGAGGAGGGGGAGGCACGTAACTCGCCGCCTGACTCCACGGGCCCCCGAAGCTGCTAAAAATCGAGCTAATAGTCCGCAAATACATTGAAAAACAGCTGCAGCCCAGAGAGAGCGGGGACAGCCCCGTGGGGCGCCGCTCCCTCCGCCCGCCATTACCCAGCCCCTCTGCTGGGCCGGCCGGGCCAAACCAAACCCGAGCACGGGAGCGGCAGCGGCCGCAGCCAGCCAGGAGGAGGAGGAGCGGAGGGCGGGAGGGAGGAGGCAGCGCTGGCAGCCTGGCGGGGAGGGGGCACTCGGTACCGCGGAGAAGGAGGAGGACTAAGATGGCCACCGGCCGCCACGGGGAGCGGCCCCGCTCCCTCCGCCCCGCCCCGCCTCGCCCGGCCCGGCCTTGATGGGGCCGCGACGACCCCGGCCGCAGCGCGCTGCAGCGGTGCCTCCCGCCGGAGCCCGCCCGGGCCTCAGCGGGGGAGCCGCCCTCTGGGCCCGGTCCGCGGCCCCCCGTGCCGCTCCGTGAGTGAGAGCAGCTGCGGAGAGGAGAGGAGAGGAGGGGCCGCCCGCCGCTCCCCCCCCCCGCCCCGGCGGGCAGGGCCAGGCCCCCCGGAGCCCCCTGCCTGCCGCCGCCCGGTGAGTGCCCGCCGCTGCCCGGGCCCCGCCGCTTTGTTGCTCCGCCGCCGGCCCCTACGCGGGCCCCCCGCCGCCTGCCCGGTCCTTCGGCCCGGCCGCAGGCCGTGGTGGCCGCCCGCTCCCTGGGGATGCCGGGGCGCAGGTGGCCTCGGCCCCCGCTCCCAGCCCCCGGCCCCTTTCCCTTCGTTTTTGTCGCCGCGTTCCCTGCCCGCGGGGGTCTCCGGCCTGCGGGGCCCTGAAGGGAGCTCGGCGGCGGCGGCGCCGGACCGCTCCGGCGGCCTTTGTTGTGCCGGGGGGCGGCGGGCCTTCTCCTTGCCTTATTCTCATTTCTAGATCTGGAGGCCGTCTCCGAGCCCTGCGCCCCCGCCGTGCGACAGTCGCAGCCCCCAGCGGCCGGCTGTGGGTGCCGGGGGGCCGTGGGGGGCCGTGGGGGGCCGGCTGCCCCCCGAGCGTGGCGTTTGTTCGCCCCTCGGGGAGAGCCGCGTCGCTGGCGGTGTTTGCTCGGTGGCTGTGGGTGCCGAGTCCCCGCGTGGTGTTCACCTTGAAAGATTAGGGCCGTGGTTTCCTGCTGTGGTTGTGGGTGACGGTGTAGAGAGAGGCAGGTGTAGATAAGAAACAGCGTAGAGAGCCAAATGTGTTTCTTTTGACCTGTAGTTTCATGAATGGCCCAAACGCAATGTTGTGGTGAATGAGAGCGACTCCCAAGGATTCTCCGAAGGATTCGAGGATTCTGTTTGTTCTGGGCTTTTTTTTTTTTTTTTTTATTAATTGAGTTTTGGTTATTTGTCATTGTAAGATTCTGACAAGGTTTCTGCATACTAGAAGATTAATTTTCACATGGAAAATGGTAGGTTTCCTCTTAGGAGAAGTCAGTTTTGCACATTGCATTAAGTAGGAATGATTGGCTAACTCTGCCAGAGCTGTTTCACCACATGCCCATGCATGTCCTTGTGCCCATCACAAGTGTGTGACAGGCCTCCCCAATGACAGTTTCCAAAAAGTGGTGGTTGGAGAGGGTTCATCACCTACGCTGCCCCTGAGCAGCTGTACAGCTATGTGAGGTTTCTGCATTCATGGCCTCCTATGAATCTAGGCTGGTTCTACAGAAAGCCAACATGATGGCATCTGTGGCACTTTTTGGTGACGTGCCAGATAATGCAAGCAGTGGTACCTTGAGGTTGACTATGTGCGGAGACTACAGTTTGCATGAACTGGTGTTTCTGTAGTATTTCTCACATCCTGTGTAATTCTGGTAGACTCGTAGCACTAGAAAATATGAAACGGGTTTATTGCTACCTGCGTTGACAAATTGCCATAAGATGAGTAACTCCTTACTTATGTTTTTAGGCTACAGACAGGTATCTTTATAAAGGCAAATACTTTGTGGAATTCCTGGCTTTCATACTAGAAACGTACAACTGTGTTAATACAAAGTTTTGCTCCGTGTTCCTGATAAAGAAGTGCTGGTAATCTGATTTTGGGTGCAGATCTGGATCAGGAGCAGGAATCTGCGCTCCTGTGCTGTGGGTCTGTTTAGTTCCGTTAGAGCCAGCTCTGCAATGCTGAATAATGTTGATAGTAAAATATTTGGGGTAGAAGAATGCCGGAAATACCTAAGGTGCTAGAGCAGACTATCTGTCAGTGAATGGTGTTCCATAGTTTGGTATGTCTTGGCCAGAAGCTGGACCTGTTTGTTTGCTTTTCCCATTTGTAACTTTTAGCTGATAAGCCTGGAGTAAAAGTGTTGTGTGGTTTGGGTTATATGGCTACAATTAGTGCAGTTCTTAGCAAGCTGGTGATATACTCAACTCAAATTGAAGCATGGTCAACATAGTGGTGTGGTGATACTTAATATCTTCAGCACCCGTTTAGAAATGTATTACAGTATTTCTAGGTCAAGGTTTAAGTGAGAGTTCATCTTTCTAGTAGACTGCTTACTTTTTCGCAGTTTTGCACATCAAGATCAGCCTTTCTATAGTATTGCGTTGTATCACTACTGTGGAGAGGAAGCACTCTCATCTCTTGCTTTGAGAACAGCAATGAGAAGGTACTAAGAAAAAAATCTTAATATTTTCAACCTGGAAATAGCAAATGTAATTTAGGAAGCTGCATTGTGTTGTTTCATCTTGCTGCCTGTATCAGCTGAGAAAGTACCCTAACATCCTTCTGGGTAGGTATGAAAGCCTGTCTGTTTAGCTCTCAGGTTACTGGGGGGCAACTGTCAGAAATAGCATACATGGCAAACTTGTCTTCAGGATGCACAGATGCGTGTTGTTATTAGAAGATTTTAGCAACTTATTTCACATCTGCAAGCCTTCCTTTAACTATTTCCTAGTTTTCTTCAAGGGTAAAAATTCTAGGATGCTTACTGTGCAGAGAACATGATGAGCATGGGTTAGATGTTCTGCTTACTGTTTGAAATGCTCAGGACTGTCATGAGACGTAAGTAATTTTGGAGATCCAGCTGTGTTTCACCTCCCAAACATAGATGTTAAGTGTTTTGTAGGGTTGGGTTACGGGGTTTTACGTGGGTTTCTGAAGGTATGCTAAGCACAGTTATGCAAGGAAAAGCCAGTAGTGTGTCCCTTGTAAAATTCCTGCAGGACTAATGTGCAGATGCTGATCAGCAGTTCTGTTCCTGTTCGTAAGTGATTTGAAGTTCCTATTGCAAAATACTGGAAATAATGGCTCAGGAGTGGCCTCTGACTTACAGGACTTCCTGCTCTAAGGAAGTCTTAGATCATTTGTCCAAAATAAAAATATTTTCAAGAGGAGGAGGGGGGATTACTGTTTGCTGTGAGAAACTGTCTATCTTGTTCTTAATGTACCTCCCAGTGCTCATCTTCCTGACAGTTAGAACTGTGAAAACCTCTTTTTATAATATTACCATAACAAAATTTGCATTTTGAAATGGTAAATTGAATGTGTTATTGGTCCATAGTACAGCTTCCATGTATGTGCGTAGGGAAGAAAATTGATTTCTGCATAGTTTTATAATAAAGCTTTTAATTTCACTAGTTTGCTCATTTTTTATTTTTTTTTCTTTTTTATTTTTTGGGGTTGTTGCTAACGGCAGTAATAAAACATTTGAAATGTCCGGCTTGTAACAAATACTTACAGTGTTCATTGCTTCGAATTGTTGGCAATGCTGATTGTTTACAGAAAATACTTGCTTTCAGAAAATATATTCGGAAGGAACTACAACGTTAGTCATAACTAAACCTTTGCACATCACACTCGTGTGGGCCTGGCACATCTTCTTGAAGAGGCTTCATTAACTTTGTGCTCTGTTTTGCAATTTTCATCTTGAAATAAACATTTGCACTCCTGTATCGCTACTGTTGACTTCTTTTTGACGTTTTATGTCCTGTTGCTTGGCCGTTCACACCTTGCTCACTAGGATAATACGTGACATAATTATAAGGCTCCTATAAATACTTGTTTTAATCAGCTGCCCCACAGACAACATAGACGGCGTTGCCATTTTCTGCATTCCTGTGTGACTGTGCAAAAGCATCCGGTGCTATACGTGAAATCCTGCTAGCCACTTGTCTCTCTTTACCTGTAGTCATCGGTGTGGGCTTGAGAGCAGCATCTTGGCTCAGGTGGTAGTGCAGGGATGACCCCACAAACTTTGTGAGACTGAATACGTTTTGTGTGGCCAGGTCTTCCAAGCATGTGTCTGTCAAAGACCCTGTGTTTTGCTTTGCAGTACATCACGCTTTTGCTTGTTGGCTGTATCCCCTGTTCTCCTGAGGTGTTACAGCTCAGTGTGTACACCACCTTTCTTGACGCTTGCAGATGATGGAGTATCTGCAGGCTGTCTGCGGTTGGGTCACCCATCAGATGAGGGGGATGATGATTTAAGCGAAGCTAGAAGATCTATGGTGTAGTTGTTGCATATACATGTATTTCTTGATCTATAATCTAAATTATACTGTATCAGAGCTTTAGAGGTGAAGAATTGTTGTGTTTTAGAGGTGAAGAAGGTTGTGTTTTAGAGCCATGTAATAAAAAATAATTTTTTACGAGTGTTGAAGGGGAATGACCTTCATGTGCACATGGACTACGATTGGATTATCTAAAGCGTTAAACCATAGAACCATGAGTTACAGGAGCTGGGCTTTTCTGCTTGGTCTTTGACTTAGCCAAGGGGTACTGGAGGGCTGTTGGACATTGCCCTCTCCCAGCTCAGTGTGCCTCCTATTCCTGAGGGCTCTGGTTAATCAGAAGCTTCCCTCTAGAAGTTGCTAGAAAAGTGGACTCAAATACAGCAGCTGGTGGGGAGGCTGCACCTTTGTTCAGGTGTTGCTCTCCATCAGGGAAGGGGCTCACGCTGATGGGGCTCATGGCCCGCACCATGGCTTGCAGAAGAGGGGCAAAGCTCAGCTTTGTCCGGTGCCTGCCAAGAAGGAAGTCCAGGTCTCACTTCTTTTTCTATGGAATTTGCTCAATATTGTCTGGGAGATGCGGTTTTGTGTTTGTTGTTTTTCCTCAAGTCTTTTGTGACCGATGGTTTCATACACATCTTGTTTTCTGCCACAAACAGCATTGGGGCAAAATTTCCTGATTTCTGTTCCGAGCAGGAGTGTGCAATAGCTTTTTGTTCGTTAGTTTCTTTTAAATTGTGCTGGCGTTCTTGGAGTCTTGATAACAGCAGGGAACCTTTTTTAATTTTTTTTTTCCCCAACATGTCGAGCAACACTGAGTGTGGAAGTAGGACTGTCCATATTGAGATTTGGAGGAGGAAAAAAAGCTTGGCATTTAGGTGAAAGTGGATTGCTCCTGTGCAAGCTAGACATCATCTTTTAGGTTCTTTTAAGGGAAAATAGCTTTGGTTGTTTTTTTTAGTTTTGGTGTTTCATCAATGTCCTGTGCAGGATTTCTGCCTGTCTTAGGCATGTGACTACAAATGTTCTTGTCATATTGCAGAGTAGGAACAAATTGCAGAACTTACTGTCACGTGTAAAAAGGATCTTCCCGATGTTTTGAAAGTTGTG